ATCTGAAAAGACATTCAAAAAAATCTGATTTTTCTTTCCCGATGCATGCTGTATTATTCATCAAGATCACCAAGACCGCTCGGACAACGGGTGTGGATGTTCCATGTTGATGATGTTACTAGACAAGAGAAGTTTAAATTGGAGAGGAGTGGAGGAGCTGCGTAAGTGGCTAGAAGGAATGAGATGGCAAAACGATAGTGATTCGAGGATCAGCGGCTCACAAAGCACTAAGGAAATTTAAAGCACACTATCCATGTGTTGGATTTTAATAAATGTTCGGGGCCATTGTTTTTCAGACTGATTCACATTTGTTCTAAAATAGCATTCAATGAACAGATTAGAAAAGCCGGCTATGCCAAAAATAAGCAATGGTTGACTTCGAAGGGCCCGGTAGAACTACGCCTGATTTGCGAAAGTGACCTAGTAATGTCATTAACACGGAAATCAACATCACCTGTCTGAACGACATGATTTCGACAAGATTTACCGAAAGCACCAAAACGAAATGTTCACAAAAGATTATTTGTTGCAGAGCAAGCAGCAGAACTTGCGTTAATAATGGGAAGGGAAGAATGAAGAAAGCAAGTTATATGACTATTTGCAACATTTTTGATTTACCTGATAAAATATGAAAGCACATGGTCCTCTCACATTACTCTGTTTTTCTAGGCCGCTACGCCACCGACTTTTCGCTATTGTCGTTTCTGGCTAAAGTGAAACTGACTAGAAGCACTGGTATCTGGGAGCAAAGGCAAAATTCGTCCAAAATGAGGTACAGCCTTCCTGAATAGCAATCTCAATAGCCAAACCAAATCCAAGCCTTCCGAAGGGATTGGCTAAAGTGAGCCCAGGACAAATCAAGTTAGGTCGAACAAGCATTAGGAATGCATCAATGAAAAATCAGAGAAAACACCTGGTTTAGGAAAAAACAAACATTCCTTGTTTCAAAGACTAGCGCTGCAGATTTTTATGCGAACGATCCCGGTCACTGATAATCAGTTCATGTTGAGGACTGATATGCCAATCAATAGCCAAGTGTTCGTCAAACGGATTTACACCGGATTCGGTTTCCGGATTATAAACTGCCGTGCATTTGTACGTTACATGCGCCCCATCCTCCGATAATACCTAAAAATTTATTGTATAATTTAGGGGAAGGCAATAATGCGCCAATTTATTGCACCAAAAAGCCGAGAACCGCTTTCTCCCGTATTTCACTCTGTTTGAGAGGTGAAAACACTCGGAAGTAGCACAGTGGCAAAAAAAAAGCTCATAAGCAACCCCGCCGACAAGACTATCGATGATTCCGAAGCACATTAGCAGAGGTCGCTCCATAATCCATAAAAATTTTGACCAATAAACAAACAAGCAAGCAGTAGTTATGATGTCTGCTAGAAGATGTGCAAACATCGGAAATTATGAGAACGGTGCCAATAGCTGTTCCGAACGTCAACTGCAAAATTACGTCTCTTTTTTATATGATTAGTCTGACTTGAGAGTTTTAACCATGTATCAAAACCCAGGCTGGAACGCACCAGGCGGGCCGGTGCGATTATGCGTTTTTGCGCTTTTCGTGCTGTAGCAAGATCGCAAGGAATCAAAGTAGCTAACCTTGTGAAATACTGGCCCTCGAAGTTCGGGAAGTTAATTGTATAACTATGTGGTATGTCAGTTGTAAGTGTCGACTTCAGTGACCTGACAAATGGAAAGTTGCTGGTCCGCAAAAAAAGGCCACACAAGAAGAGTTAAGTTTAAAATCTTTTAGTCGTCCAGTCTGAGTTAGCAGTTTTCCCATCAAAATTTTCACGAATCCGTACATGAGTACTGGACGGTTTTAAGGAGCTGAATTTAAAATCTTTTGGTCAGACATGAGTAGGGGACATTACCCTAAAGTTTTAGCTTTTTAGCTTTTCCCGTTCCCGAGTTGGTAATTTTCGCGCCAAAATTTCCACGCGTTGGTATGTGGGCACTGGCGCTTCTAAACACCTGATCTTGGTAGTACATGAGTAGGAAACATCCCCCGAAAGTTTCAGCTTCTAGCTCTTCCCGTTCCCGGGTTAATGATTTTCGCGCCAATATTTTCACCTCCCCCTACATGGGCACCGGGCCCTTCCAGACACCTGACTTTGCTCGTACATGGGTGGGGAACATTAACCTAAAGTTTCAGCTTTCTAGCTCCTCACGCTTCCGGGTTAGTGGCTATCGCGCCAAAAATTTCCACGCACTCGTACTTGGGCTCGGGCGCCTCCAAACACGTGACTTTGCTCGTACATAAGTGGGGAACATTCCTTTATAGTTTCAGCTTTCTAGCTTTTCACATTCTCGAATTATGAATTTTCGCGCCGAAATTTTCACGTGTC